GGTGGGGGGTGGGGATAGGGTTTCTTTAAGTTATGTTATGTTTGAGAGGTTAGGGTTACCAAAAAGTATTATTTCTGAATCTAAGAGTTCCATAGTCTCCCACCCCCCACCCCTATGAAATCATGAAAGGGGGGCTACACCTTTTTTGTTCACTTGTGGTAACAATTCAACCAATACTTACTTGTAGGTAGGCAGCTTTTCTTTTTGTAGTCGATGCTGTGCTTGTGTAACTACTTCTTCTGTAAAGGAAGATTCAGCCAGCAACTTTTTTTCATTCTCCAAAATACTCATGGAGTGCTTGTATACCTCAAATGAGTAGCATTTAAACCTATTAAGATTTTCTTCACTGAGGTCTAGTTGGATTTCTACTTCCATATCATCAACAGCTCTCTTCGGTATCATTTTTTCCTGGATTTCATTGATAAACAGGAGTGCAGATCTACTTTTCTCTATTTCTTTTTTCCAACTCAAGACTTTATAATCAAAATTCTCACCCATTTTTTGATGCAAGGAAATCAACATTTGAGGTGACATACATACTCCTAAATGGTTCAATCGTGTAAGGTCTCTTTTGGAAATACCACTATGAAATAGGATAGTAGAGATCCTGTATGCAACGGCAGACATGTTAGGATGATTTACTCTTACCAGAGCAGAGGTTGCCACAGCAATCGCATTTGAAGCTTTAGGATTATCTTCTTCTTGAGTGTGATAACCGCATGCGCCTCTAACTACAGAACTGTATATAGGGCAATTCACTTCTATCTCTTTACAAAGAGTTTTGTTTGAAAAAGCCGCAAGCTGATCAGGACTCGCACTCTTCATACTGTTATCACTCTTAGCATAGCACTTAATCTCGCGTTCAACTTCCAATTCAAGATGTTTAACCAGTTCAGAAATGAGGATGTCGTGGTTAAAAAGTCCATTGATTACAGTACTCCAGCAAGAGAGTCAAATGTTTATGATCATGCTTTTGATTTGGGGATCAAAATTACTTTTAACTATGACGTTTCCAGAAGGATAGGCAACAACCACTTTAATTTGAGAACATTTTGATGTTTTCTTTATCGGGCTTTGAATTTGAGAAAAGGGACTTTCTTGAGCTCTTCGAAGGTAAACTTTTTTTAGCGCTGGGCGAATCATTCCTTCTTAGCTTTCTGTTTTCGGGGCTACTTTTATTCGGTGTCACAGCTACGGATAACTTTCTTTTTGAAGCTTGATCACCAGGATACGAAGCGCTGCTTTCCTTGGCAGTGGTAGAGGTAGAATTGATTTCTCTCAATACAAGTGCATAAGTTTCTGAAAGATTTTTTAGCTTCCTTCCACAAGGTTGGCATACGACCCTTGAAAGATCGGGAGTGTTGTTGACAATGATCCCTGTTTCTTTCAAACTTTCAGCAATAATCAAACCAAAGTCATCCTTACGCGAAGAAGGTTTGAATAAATTCAAGTAGGAATCGTAGCTATTCCTTTGATTTCCGTACGTCGTTAATAAATTCTTTTTGCATAGTCGACAACTTTGATTTGGATTATTAACTAATGGTTTTCGCCCTCGTTTCGATTTTGGATTTTCTGGAGCTCTAAGGTTCGAAGGAATCGTATTTTCCTTCGACAACATAGTTTTTCTAGCATATAGGCAATTTGTACTGCGCATGCGCGCGTTAATTAGAAAACAAAAGAATTTCAGCCGCCATTTTGTTTGGAATGCACAGTCTGTGGGTTTTCTGATCAACGTTCTCAGAATTTAGAGGCATTCGATGGAAGAGCCTCAAAGACGATCAAAACTAGAGACGAAGGACTAGCACATGAGCATATCAACAAGTACATCGTCCTTTTATTTGGAGATAAATCACTCGTCAAAATGTGCCCGAAAGGGAAAAACCTCAAGACATGGTTATCTTTGTTCCTGTTGTATTTAAAATCTAACCAGTAAATTGAGGAAATCTTTCTTTAAGGTGAGAAATTATTCTTTGAT